GATGTCCTCACAATGGTTTCATTGCCTCATTTCTGGAACTGGTGCATGCGGACTGGGAGTGAATAGATGCAGTATGTTTGAAAGCAGCACTCCCAGGACTGCTACAGAAGCATGTTAATATGCTCCTTGAGACCAAGAGCTGAGGCTTCAAGAAATACATTGGAAATCACAAGACTTGTGATAAAATTATGGAAGGTAGTGGCACAAACACAACTTACTTTTGGAGTGGGGGGAGCAGTAGAGAGAGTAAGGAGTTGTGAAGTAGGTAGAAGCTCATCTCCAGCCGGTTCTCACATTGCAGGACTTAGCAAAAGCTTGCCATAAATAATACTATGCACTTGTTAAATAGAGAAGAATGATCTGTATTTTACAGATGGCAAATCTGAGACACAGCTTAAGCAACTTGCCCATGTAATGGCCCAACGCCCAGCTCTCATCCTCAGATAAATCCCTGACCCTCCAGTAGGTGCTCAGATAATTTACTTCATATGGGAGATGTAAACCCAATAGAAAAATATTTTAAATCATTTCCTCAGAAAAGGTAGAGAAAACATGTACATTGCAGGAAGTAAAATTAATAAACAAGGCTACAAATCAGCCATGTGGAAAGGGAAAAACATTGTAAAAATAGGCATAGGACAGTAACTTTGGCACCAAATGACACCTGCCAATGGCTACCCCAGATGTTAGGGACAAGTAGATTCCTTGAAAGCAAGAAAACCAACCAACTTGGCAGAAATCTTAATTTCCAACTGCAGCAGTTAGTCCAGAGAATAGATATGGAGCCCTAGCAACAGAGGGTGAGGAGCATGTTCCATTGGTGGAGGAGGACAGGCAAGGCCTCCCAAAAGTGGAAAAGATCGAGACCACTGCCACCAAGAAGCAGCAATGGGTGGTGGTGGTGGTTGGAAACTCCCTTCTGCAAAGGATGGAGGGATCCATCTGCCAACCTGACCTGTTGTCTCAGGAAGTCTGCTGCTTGCTTGAAGCCCAGATCCAAGGTATCATTGAGGGATTACCGAGACTTATCTGGCCCTCTGACTACTACTCCATGCTGTTCATCCATGTGGCCACCTGGATACTGCTAAGGGAAACCCTGAGCAAATGAAAAGTGACTACAGGGCTCTGGTGCAAGCATGAAGGGGATGGGGGCTCAGGTGGTGTTCTCTTCGATGCTTTCAGTCAAGGGAAAGGGCCCGGGCAGAACAGGTGCATCCTGCAGATCAATACCTGGCTGCACAAGTGGTGTTACCAGCAGAGCTTTGGCTTCTTTGACCATGGGATGTTCTTCCAAGAAGAAGGACTGCTGAGAAGAGATGGGATCCACCTGACAAAGAGAGGATCTGACAGGCTCGCTAACTTAGTGAGGAGGGCTTTCAACTAGGTTCGCCGGGGAATGGAGACCAAAGCCCTGAGGTAAGCAGGTGATCTGGAGGAAGAGGAAGCAGGAAGGGACAACAGGGAAGGTGTTCTCATTCTTCCAGAGAAATCAGGGCAATCAACTAGTTACCTCAGGTGCCTGTACATGAATGCATGAAGCCTAGGAAACGAGCAGGAAGAATTGGAAGTCCTCGCACAGTCTCAGAGCTATGACGTGACTGGAATAACAGACTTGGTGGGAGCTTGCATGACTGGAGCACTGTCATGGATGGGTACAAACTGTTCAGGAAGGACAGGCAAGGCAGAAGAGGAGGAGGAGTTGCATTTTATGTAAAAGAGTCATATGATTGCTCAGAGCTCCAGTATGAAACTGGATATAGGTCTGTTGAAAGTCTCTGGGTTTGAGTTAGAGGAGAGAGCAACAAGGGTGATGTCATGGTGGGGGGTCTGCTATAAACCACCAGTTTTTTCCTGTTTAACAAGCAATACACTTTGCAACAGTGTCCAAACAGTATCAAAATCCAAAAACTAAACAAAAATGTGGGGAGTGGAAAGAGGGGGTAGTATGACTACACAGAGAGTGGACCTTATGGGCATGTCAAGCCCATGCCTACCAACCATCTACAGTGTAAGCTCCTCATCCTGACCCCCGGCAGCCATACAGCCCGACCCTGTAAGTTCTGCTGAACTTTTGGAAATAAGGTTGACCTCGACATCACTGCTTGGAGTTTACTCAAATGCTGCCATCCTTGAGCACAGGAAGCCCACCAACAGCAATCCTACAAGACCCTGTTTCTGACATCTGCAGCTCAGTTCCCATCTCTCCTGTACGAGACAGAAACAATCAGCACACCAGTTCCTAGAAGTGCCCCACAAAGGAACCTGCAATAGTTTCATGCCACGCTCAAGAAATAAGCAGCTTATGGACAGCTTCAGTGAAGACTGTAAAGTATGACAAAAGGGGAAGGGGCACTTCATGTGGCTCTTGCTGGTTGAAGATAACACAAATATAAGTTCAAACTTGCCCACCACACCCGTCTTCTCTGATCACTTAAATGACACAAGAAATGACACGAATGGGGAGAGAGTAAAAGCTCCTCTGTGCACTTCCTTGCTCTCTGGTCTTTTGAGGATGACTTCACACAAACTGCTCCCTCTGTGGGGAGACAACATCCAAGGAACCTTTACACCTGCCTGATTTTTCACTGCCCAAGCTAATCACTTATCCAGTCTATTTAATGTAGTCACCATCTCTACATTGTGTAGACAATTGTGAAACAAGTTGCTTGTTTCCTTCTATGTTTCAGTGGATGGGAATTCACATCTCAGAAGCCCCCATCACAGCTGCTTCAGACCTGTGTCAGGCAGTTTCAGAAGCAAGGACAAGGGCTGAAAAGGAACAGAAGCTGAATTTTCTCTTATCCCCCCTTCCCTCACCACTTTGAGAAATTATTCCTCCATGCATGGCTAACATATGTTAGCAGAGGTAAGCGTGTATACATGGAGCAGGGGGAGGGGAGAAGAGTTCATACTAACTATACTGTACCTGTTTTATGAAGTAACTGATGATTCAAGTTTCCAGCACTGTCCAACAGTCTGTCAACCTTCTCAAGCATTACAGGTGGGGCCTGGTGGCACAGCAGCCAAGATGTGTCACTACACATCCAGATGCATGAGTTAAAGCCTCACTCAGGACTTGAGCTCTAGTCTACCCCCAGTCAACCCAACTATAAATAGGCACCAGGTCATTTGTGGAGGGTCAAAGGTGGAAGGATGCAATGCTAGTCCTGTTACTCCCTTTTTATGGTGTTGGATACAGAAACTACAATTGCTTAGCTGTATTATAATGGGCCACATACACCTGGGATGGACTTCTGATGTTAGTATAACCTCCAGATGCTCAAGGTACCCCAGAGAAAATGGGTTTCACTAGCAGCAAAAGTGGGAGCTCCTGAGGTTTACCAACCCAAACATCTGCTTTTAGCTGCATCATCTTTTATGAATGACATACAGAGAACTAACAAGTGCTTATAATACCTGCTTCAAACTCTACAATTGGGATGAGTGGGGAGGGTGAGCAGGAAAAGCTGCATTACTGTACTACAGCATCAAGTTCTAGTGCTGTCTAATAACCAGATTTGCTGGCTGCTCTACCTGGACACACAAGGCTACACATTCAAGGAATGGTTACTTGGACATAGATGTCAATATACTGCCCTCAGCTGTACATCCTAAAAACTGAATAGATAGTCTGTGGGTAATCACATTTAAGTGTTTTCCATGGGCAATCATGTCAGTTCACATGAAACTGTAGGCACACTTGCACACAAACACAGATCATCCCATTTTGAAATTCCCATAGTACTTTTATCAAGAAGAGAGATTCGCCCATGGGACCTTGGGCAGAATTTTCCCTTGCCTGCTCCTCTTGACCATGCACCAATTTGTTCTTTGGAGTGGTACTTTCTGCATGTCCGTGTTGGCACTCTGAGATCCTTCACATGGCTAGAAGAGTGTCGAGTATTTACAGCACATGGCCTTCATCTGCTAAAAACAGAAGCACAACTACAGACAGGCATGCAAATATTTAGAATGCAACAGTTTAACAACAAACCCTGTAAGGAAAGAGGATGAAAACCAACGAAGAACTGTGTCCATCAAGAATGAAGGGGGGTGGGGCTGGGGTGGGACAAAGGCCCATGTCCAGCCCCTACCACGCACTTTGGGTCTGGCCCTGCTCCTCTGTCTCTCTTTGGGGCTGGGGCTGGGGCTGGGGCTGGTGCCATGCCCCCCCACCCCCACGCTCTGCATCCGCATCCCCCTTCCTCCCCTC